TACACCAGCATGCCGACAACACACTTGCTGGCAGGGTCAGCGCTGGAGCTGCTCCATCTCGTCGTCGTCTCTACCCGGACACCCATTTCCCACATCTTGGTCGCTTCCCACCCTTCATCAGATATTCAACATGCTTGATGTGTGGACGTGTGTATACATGGGTTCAGATAAGAGCATGTATTCACACATACACACACATGCATGAAGACTCTGGTGCTGGTCAGCGCAGGCGTGGACATCTGTGGACATGGGCATAAATGGGCTCAGAGGATACACACACCTGCATGTTGAAAACACACTTGCTGCCAGGGTTAGCGCAGGAACTTCACAGTTTCGTCTTCTCCCCTAAAAATGAATGAGATTTTCCCACAGCCTAGTCATTTTGCATTCTTCATCATGCATTCAACAGGCTTCATGTGTGGACATGTGCATGCATGTGCCCAGATGACATACTGCACACATATACACATACACACACCTGCATGCTGACAACACACTCGCTGGCAGGGTCAGTGTGCAGCCACTCCGTTTTGCCACCACCCCTTACCTGAAGGTGTACTTCTCACGGCCCCGTCACTTGCCATTACATCATGCATTGAGCAGGCCTGGTGTGTGCATGTGGTTGTATGGGCTCAGATCACACACACACACGTACACACACCTGCATGCCAACAACACTGTGCTGGCAGGTCACAGCAGGAGCTGAAACATTCTGCTGTCGCCCCTAACCCGGGGGTGTACTTACCTACAACCAGGTCATTTCCCACCCTGAACCACATATTCTACAGGCTGGATGTGTGCATGTGTGCTTACACGGATTCAGATGATAACATGCATGCCCACATACACACACGAGCATGCAGACACATACGTGCTGGCAGGATTGTCACAGGAGCCGCACTGCATCACCATTGTCCCAACCTGGACATGGACTTACCACAGCCTGGTCACTTCCCATCCTTCATCACACATTCAACAGGCTAGATGTATGCATATGTGCACGTATGGGCTCCAACACCACACACATGCACACATACACACACCTGCATGCAGAGACATATGTGTGCTGGCAGGGTCAGGGCAGGAGTGGCACCATTTCATTGTCACCCCCTCACCACGTACTTCCCACAGCCTGCTCACTTCCCATCTGTTATCACACATTCTAAGGCTTGCTGTACGCATATGGGCATTCAAGTGCCCAGATAACATATCCATGCCCGCATCCCCACGCCTGCATGCTGACATCACGCTTGCTGCTGGGTCAGCGCAGGAGCCACTCTGCTTCACTGTCACCCCTAACCCGGACACCCACTTACCATAGCCAGGTACTTGCAGTCATGTGCGATGCATTCCACAGGCTTGATGTATGCACATGGGCATTTAGGTGCTCAGATGATAACACATAAAGGCCCACGTACATACACAAGCATGCTGACAGCACACCTGCTGGCAGGGTCAGCACAGGAAATGAGGTGTTTCACTGTTGCCATTAACCCAGACAAGTACTTACCACAACGATGTCACTTTCCATCCTGAACCACATAGTCTACAGACTTGATGTGTGGATATGTGCATGCATAGGTTCAGAGGATAACATATAAATGTCCACATACACATACCTGATGCTGACATCATGCTTACTGCTGGGTCAGCATGGCAGCCACTCTGTTTTGCCATCACTGCTAACCCGGATGCGCACTTACCACAGCCTGGTCACTTGCAATCATGTTCGACGCATTCAACAGGCTTGATGTATGTATGCACTTGGGCATTTGTGTGCTCTGATGATAACATATAAAGGTCCACATACATACACAATCATGATGACATTGCACTAGTGCAGGGTCAGCACAGGAGCCACACTGCATCACCTCGCCCCTAACCCGGATACTCACTTCCCTCAACATGGTCACTTTGCATGCTGTATCACACACTCAACAGGCCTCATGTGTGGACATGTGCATGTGTGTGCACATTACATGCATATACACACACACCTGTGTGCTGACATCACACTTGCTGGCAGGGTCAGCGTTGCAGCCACTGCATTTCACCACCGCCCCTTACCTGAAGCTGTACTTCCCACTGCTGTGTCACTTGCCATTACATCAGGCATTGAGCAGGCTTGGTGTGTGTACATGTGTGTATGAATTCAAATGATAACACGCACACACATACACATACCTGCATGCTGACAACACACTCACTGGCAGGGTCAGTGTGCAGCCACTCCGTTTTGCCACCACCCCTTACCTGAAGGTGTACTTCTCACGGCCCCGTCACTTGCCATTACATCATGCATTGAGCAGGCCTGGTGTGTGCATGTGGTTGTATGGGCTCAGATCACACACACACACGTACACACACCTGCATGCCAACAACACTGTGCTGGCAGGTCACAGCAGGAGCTGAAACATTCTGCTGTCGCCCCTAACCCGGGGGTGTACTTACCCACAACCAGGTCATTTCCCACCCTGAACCACATATTCTACAGGCTGGATGTGTGCATGTGTGCTTACACGGATTCAGATGATAACATGCATGCCCACATACACACACGAGCATGCAGACACATACGTGCTGGCAGGATTGTCACAGGAGCCGCACTGCATCACCATTGTCCCAACCTGGACATGGACTTACCACAGCCTGGTCACTTCCCATCCTTCATCACACATTCAACAGGCTAGATGTATGCATATGTGCACATAAGTGTTCATATGATAACATACATGCACACATACACACACCTGCATGCTGACATCATACCTGCTGGCAGGGCCAGTGCTAGAGCCCCATTATTTTTGCCATTGCCAGTAATCCCTTACATGCACTTCCCCCCTAAGCCTGGGCACTTCCCATCCTGACTCATGCATTCAACAGGCACACATGTGCTCTGATGACACATAACATATAAATGCCCCCCCTACACCTGCATGCTGACACACACGTGTACTGGTGGGTGAGCGCAGGAGCCACACTGTTTAATTGTTGCCCCTTACCAAATGCCTACTCCTCATGCCTGGTACTTACCATTCCACATGACGCAATCAACAAGCTTGACGTGTGCTTGTGTGCATGTATGTAATAGATTATACAAACATACAGGCACACATACACACACCTGCATGCTGACAACACACTCGCTGGCAGGGTCAGCGTGCAGCCACTTCGTTTTGCCACCACCCCTTACCTGAAGGTGTACTTCCCACGGCCCCGTCACTTGCCATTACATCATGCATTGAGCAGGCCTGGTGTGTGCATGTGGTTGTATGGGCTCAGATCACACACACACACGTACACACACCTGCATGCCAACAACACTGTGCTGGCAGGTCACAGCAGGAGCTGAAACGTTCTGCTGTTGCCCCCTAACCCGGGGGTGTACTTACCCACAACCAGGTCATTTCCCACCCTGAACCACATATTCTACAGGCTGGATGTGTGCATGTGTGCTTACACGGATTCAGATAACATGCATGCCCACATACACACACGAGCATGCAGACACATACGTGCTGGCAGGGTTGTCACAGGAGCCACACTGCATCACCATTGTCCCAACCTGGACATGGACTTACCACAGCCTGGTCACTTCCCATCCTTCATCACACATTCAACAGGCTAGATGTATGGATATGCACATATAAGTGTTCATATGATAACATACATGCACACATACACACACCTGCATGCTGACAACACATGTGCTGGCAGGGTCAGAGGGCAGGAGCCGCACTGCTTTATTGTCATCCTGAACCCTTACATGTACTTACCCACAACCCGGTCACTTCCCATCCTTCATCACGGCATTCTACAAGCTTGATGTGTGTATATGTGCACTTATGTAGTCGTATGATATAGAACATATATGCACACATACACACACCTGCATGCAGAGACATATGTGTGCTGGCAGGGTCAGGGCACTCCGAACCCTTACATGTACTTACCCACAACCCAGTCACTTCCCATCCTTCATCACAGCATTCTACAAGCTTGATGTGTGTATATGTGCACTTATGTAGTCGTATGATATAGAACATACATGCACACATACACACACCTGCATGCAGACACACCATGCTGGCAGGGTCACTACAGGAGCCACACTGTTTTGTCATTACCCCGAACCCTTACAAGTATTTACCCACAACCAGGTCATTTCCCACCCTGAACCACATATTCTACAGGCTCGATGTGTGGATGTGTGCTTACATGGATTGAGATAACATGTATGCCCACATACACACACGAGCATGCAGACACATATGTGCTGGCAGGGTTGTCACAGGAGCCACACTGCATCACCATCACCACAACCTGGACGCGGACTTACCACAGCCTGGTCACTTCCCATCCTGTACCATGATTCAACAGGCTAGATGTATGGATATGTGCACTATGGGCTCCAACGCCACACACATGCACACATACACACACCTGCATGCTGACATATGTGTGCTGGCAGGGTCAGGGCAGGAGTAGTACCATTTCATTGTCACCCCTTAACCGCATGATGTGCTCCCCACGACTTTGTCTCTTCCTATCCTGTCTCATATAATCAGCAGGTTTGATTCTAAGCTGCCTGGAAAACCAAGGTACTCATGGCCACCGGGGCATGAAAAGCCCGTGTTGCCAGGTCTGGAGGCTGCTCCCCAGAGTCCCCCGGGAGTGTCTTCGAGCAGGGGCTGCTCACAGCTCAGGCAGGAGAGTGGGAGTGGGGGAAGCTGCACACTCAGACCTGCCTCTTGCCAGGCTATCCAGCTGGCCACATGCAGCCTTAACTGTTCTTTTCCTATGCAAGTGTTAAGGCTTTGCCCTCCCCGCCCCCCAAACTGGCACAGTGCAGGATGGCTAGAATCCACCTCCAGCCACATGCCAGTCACCATTTGGCTCACACGAAAGGAACCGAGGTTAAAACCCAGAATGCCACACTGGGCCAGGGTGCCAGGCAGGTTCCTGGAACCATTAGGAACAGAAACAACATCAGGAGCCAGTGCTTGAGGGGGTTTTATTGAGAGCAACAGCGTGTATACCAAAAGGTACTGGGCTTTGGGTCTACATTAATTGGCGGGGGGAGGGGATCTTGGCAGGAGGGTTCCTTCTTGGTGCTCAGTTGGTTGGCCAGACTGCCACCACCACGATCGCCACAAACAGCAACAGGATCACCAGGATCATCCCTGAAAGAGAAGCAGGTTGGCCCGTTCAATACCCCACCCCAGACAGCAGGAACAGACAGCTCGCATAGGCTGCTAACCCCCATGGGGGAGAGGTACGCTGCTGCAAAACCTCCTCACCCCCTCTGAGCCCAGGGCGAGGATGGGGAGGCACGGGCTCTGGCGCAAGCCGATCACAGGAGTTGGGGCAGTGTTCCTGGTGCGAGGCCAGCTGCCCCCAGCCTCACATTCTGCGTGGCTGCAGAAGGCGGCCACTCTGGCCACCCAACTCCTCCTTTGCCCATGCACCGAGGAAGCTTACACGGAAGCCGACCCTTGCGCCAACCCTGTCTGCCATCCATGTGGCTGCACCATGGGAACTGAGGCACTCGGGACGTGGATGGCACGCTCAGGGGTTCCAGGTTTGGTAGTGAACGCGACAGGTAGTACATGTCCTTGACAAACTCTCCTTGAGAAGAAATTTCTCACCTGGCAGGATAACCTTCCCACCCATGTCCTTACTGCTGGGACAGGGGAAGCCAGAAGTGGAACCTGTTTGGTTCTGTCATACAACCTGGGACTCTGGGTCCTTCTCGGTGCCAGTAGACACACACACACAGAGGTAGCGAGGCCCAGGGTCTGGTGAGGGGTGGGGATGAAAGCCTGGTTGTATTCTCTCCTCTCCCCCATTTCCTTAACTTTTCCATGGTGGGAAATTCTAAACAAATACAAGAATAGATGCAGGAGTCTAGAGCGCGCAGTGACGGAGCCAACCCTCAGCCCGAAGGAGGGACACACCTGTGGCCTGGTCTCCTTATCTCTACATCCTCGCTTGTTCCCTATCTCCAGAAGACACTGAGAAGCCGACCCACGAGACAGATGCAAGGAGTTCAGGAAGAGGCGGCACCGTGGAGACACACACTGCCATGTTACAACCCCACAGGACCATCAGGGAAGGGATCGCAACTCCCCTACCCTGCCCCTCTGCCCACAGGAAAGGAGCTCCGGGCTGGAGGCCGTCCTGGTGGGAACCAGAGGGGGAAGCTCCAACCTCACGCCCACCCCCTACCCCCCAACCCCGGCTGAGGCAGCAGCTGTCACTGCAGGTCACGGACAGGCGGGCACTCAACTCCTGCCCTGGTCCCGCTGCCACCTGGCAAGGCTGGCATACTTGCCCTCTGCTGCCCGCCAGCCCCAGAGTCACTTTCTGGGGGTCAGGCCTGAGATGCCAGAATGGAAAAACAAGGTCCATTTCCTTCTGGTCAGTTGACTAGATGAGCATTACTCAACCACTTAGGATATTTACAAGTCCAGCTAAGGCAATTAGAAAAAGATGTCAGAAAACAAACGCCTTTTCAGACTGGGAAAGGACGCAGAATGCGGCCGCTTGGAGGAGGAGGGGTGATGTCGGCCCAAGATTGTTGGTCGGGCCGATGCTCCATCATCCTCCCAGGGAACACTGAGAACCAGCAGGTGATGGGACCCTGCCACCACCACGTGCAGGGTACAGCGCTGGGCAGGCTCACTCACGTGGAGGAGAAAGGGAGAGAGCAAGGTGCTAGCCCTGCCTGGTGCGGGCACTTGGTGGTGGTGTTGGGGGTGTCTGTGAAAGGGACTGAGCCAGTCCCATAGATCAAAGACTGATTTTTCTCTCCATCCTTCCCGCCCCTACCCTCCGCCGACACTGTTACTCTGCCTTTCAAATAAAACTCAGTAAAGACATGTATAAAGATACACATTGCTGTTGTCTGCGCTGCCTCGCACACTGCGAGAGCCTGGGTCAACACGGATCCCTCACCCCGTCCCTCCACCATCTAGTTAAGGACCTACGGAGAGAGGAGGCCTACAAATGATGCCAGTTGTGCCTACTACTTGATGACATTTGCTTATGTATTAACCAGTTGGTTCTCACTAATCAGAGAATCTTTTTTTTTTTTTTCCCTTGTCGTAGACTTCTGAGTCAAGGGGTGGGAAGTGAGTGCGGGAGGACAGACAAAACTGGAATATTTGTTTTTGAAAGTTCATGTAAATGTTCCCTCTAATCCTAGTCCGGGGTAAATAAACAGAGAGAAGTGCAGTCGCCGAATGGGGGTTTTCAAATGGGATGGCGGCCGGGGAGCTGTGGTTGGCCTTGAGACCTCAACCATGACCTATGCACGCGGGGCAGGCGGGGGGGGGGCTGCCTGCTCTGCCCCCACCTCGGGGGGCGGGGGGAGAGGATGAGTGCTGGGGGAGCAGACGCCAGTGCTGGGAACAGGGGCTGCACCTGGGTACAGGACGTGGCATCTGAGCCCAGAGGTCGGGGCTTCCATCGTCCTCCCAGTGGGAGGTCTGTTAGGGGCATGGGGGGGCATAGGGGGGTAGGGAACAGAACCCCATGCGGCTGCTGAAGGAGCCGCTCCAGGAGCCCCCCAAGCAAACCAGAGGTGGCCTTCGCAGTGCTTTATCTGCAGGCAAATGCAAATGGGAGGGCAGGGAGGCGTGTGCTGCTACCAGCACAAGCCGAAACATGGCACCCTGTGTGTCACTTGGCGTTTCCTTTAAAATAGTAACAAGGGGGGAAAAAAAGTAGATGGCTTACAAGAGAATGTTTGTTTAATGACAGAAATGAGATGTCATTTTCTCCAAATGAGAAGGGACAGCAGAAATGGGAATATCTGGATGGCATTTAGCACCAAGGCCAAGGGGTCTGGGTGGCAGGTGGAGAGGCAGGCTGGAAGCATTTGGGGGAACATTTGGTGGCACAGGCCCAGTAGGGAGCCACAGGAAGAGCAGCACCACTGGGTGAAACCCCAGCTGAAGCTGACAGGCCAACAGAGCACGGCCAAGTGCTTGCCAGGGAGGGCGGCAGTGTGAACACACATGTTCGTGAGATCAGGGACACGTGCTAAGGGCTGGTTCACAGGCAGGGCAGGAGGAGGAGGAGAGGACAGAACAGACCAGACAGGGGAACTCAACATGCTAAGTCCATGTTCTACGAAAATGGCTGCAACCTGAGAAGGAGATCACCGCTGGAGATGTCCAATGGCACACGTGTCACACAGGGAGGCCGTGGGGTCAGGGGCCAGCCATCTCCCCCAGCTGATAGGACTGCAAAAGCGAAGTGGGGTGAAGAGGGGGAGCTGAGCCCGTCCCCTCCATCAAGGGAGCCCTGACAGGTGTCAGTTGGGGAGGCAGTGGGCCACCAGCAGGACAGCCCAGGCCGAGGGACATGCAGGATAAGAGGCAGAGCTGGCCGCCGGCTAGGACTGGCCTGTGTGTGCTTTGGATCTCGAGCACGGCAAACCCTGGGAAGAGGCCCATGTGCTTTCTCTCCTCCTTGTGTCGTGTCACCCCTGCCGCTGCCGGCTGCATGCAGTAAACAGTCATCGCCTCTGGCCCCCCGAGGCTGCAGTCTGGGAGCAGACGGAGGGGAGAGCACACTGGGGTGCAGACTCCAGCCTGGCCCTCTCTGGCCTCCGAGACACGGCTAACCCAAGTCCACGGCCTTCTGCCTCCCCTGGGTCCTGTGGGTAGACCACATGTACATTTCCTGAGGCCTTTTGGGAAAGCCCAGGGCCTGGTCTGTGGCACTGGCTGCAGACCATGCCTCCAAGGACGCCTGGGCTGGTGACCAGGGCAAGAGGGAGGCCCTGTCCCTCAGCCCTCTCACCTAAAGCACGCACCTCCCCGGGCCTGAGCGACGGCCACCGTGGGGCTGACAGGAGAGCGGGGTGGGCAGACACTAGCCTGAGACCAGAGTGAGCTGGAGTGTGTTGGTAGGAGGTAGGGACCAGGCGGGGGCGCCTGAAGGGGAGAAAGGACTGGGAAAAGGCAGAAATGGCACTGGCTCCGGAACAGGAAATGAAAAGGAATTACAGCTGTGAGAGATGGCCTCGATGGAGAGAAGTAGTTTCTAGAGTCTGGCTTCTGGGGTGCAGGCACAGGCACCCAGTTGAGCATCACATGACCCTGGTGCAGCAGTGGGGAGGCCTCCCATGTTTCTCTCCTGGACCATAGCCAATCAGTTGGCAGTGAAGGGATCAGAGTTTGCTAGACTGGTCTGATGTGGGTGCCAGGGTCCAAGGATTTGGGCCATCCTCTATTGCTTTCGCAAGCATACTAGCAGACAGCTGGGTCAGAAGTGGAGTAGCCGGGACTCCGTATGAAGTGCCAGCACTGTAGGTGGGGGCTTAACCTACTGCACCATGGTGCTAGTCCCTTTGTCTCTTTGTTAAATACAGTGTCTACAACAGGGGTGATTCCCAGCCATGCCTGTTAGCCTTGACCCTACCCGTGTAGACACAGCTGGCCTGATGGAGCCCACACATGACCCAGCCAGGCCCTCTTCCTCAGGGTGGCAGGGATTTTTGATTTCTGAGCTGACCTTCTCTGGGTCTTGGTCACGGTAGTGTTAATATTTGAAGGTGTGGGCCACAAATGTAGCCATGAAGCGCTGCCCCAGACGGCACTATGATTCTACCTCATAAAATGTCCAAGCCCAGGAGTGATTTCAGGGGATAGGATCAGTTGCTTGGCCCTCCGGGCTGACTGCCCCTCGGCCTGGGCTCATAGGCTTCTCCCTCCAACCCTTGGGGAGACCTCGGGAGCCCTGAAAGCGGTCTGCCCACACGTGCCCCTGTATGGGTAATAACCACACAGCGGCTGTGTAGGCTGTTTTTCCAACAGGCTCTTAAAGCAAAATGTAACTCAGGATGGTGGGAGGGATTGGCGCTGTGATACAGTGGGTTAAGCTACTGCCTGGGATGCTGTATTGGCATCCCATATGGGTGTTGGTTCAAGACCTGACTGCTCCACTTCCAATCTAGCTCCCTGCTGATGTGCCTGGGAAAGCGGGTGGAGGATGGCACAAGAGCTTGGGTTCCTGCGCCCATGTGGTTCCTGGCTTTGGGCTCTTGTGAATATTTGGGGAGTGAATCAAAAGATGAAAGATGGCTCTGTAAATTTGCCTTTTAAGTAACTAAGTAAATAAATATTAAGGGGGAGAAAAGGCTGGGGGAAAACAACTCCAGTTTAAAAAATAA